ATATTTATCCAACCATTCCTAACATTTTCTTCAGCGTGGTTCCTTATTCATCCTGGGGTCAAAGAAGTGGTTTCAATAAACCTCCTGAAGTAGTATGCAAAAGTTCATGTGTATGCTTATTTTGGGGGACAAAAAAGGTCCAGAGCTTAGATCAGATTATCAAAAGTACTCTGAAAAAGACCCTCCTCTGAAGGAAAAAGGAAAAAAAGACAGTTTGTAAATAGATGTGTTGCTTCCACACAACACACATTTTTATGCTTCCACGTCTTTATGCACCTGGTGCCATGAGATTCGGTGGTGTATTGGAAAGAGGATAGGTTTTGATCTTCCAGACTTCTGACTCAAGCTAAACTGGCTAAGTAGTAATGACATTTATGGAAATAAGACATAGTAAATTTTTACTGATGGAGACATACTGACATAGGAGCAATTCAAGATGTATGAAAATTGATGAAGCTTAAGGACAGCCCCCATAGAGGTCAATGTCACTAAGAAGCTGAAAGAAGGAAAGATGGTCACACTGTCCATAATAAAAAGTATAGATATTGTAAAAAGTTGCTGTAAAGATAGACAACAAAATAGGGGGGAAATTGTCTCACACAGCAGATTAAGTATTAACAAGAAAAAGTCAACTCCATATGACAGAAATTTCGATTTTCACAAAAAAAGTGCAAACTCAAATGCAAAACAGCTCGATTATTCCCACTGGCCAAAAATGTTGTCCATGCATAGATGCATCTCAAAAGCATTATGCCAAATGAAAGTTGCCGAGCACAAGATCCCATTGACATGGAAGAGGGAGTAGACTGACTGCGGAGGGACACTAGGGAACTTTATTGGTGATGGAAACGTTCCATACTTGGTTACATGATGTATATTTGCCAAGCTCAAACTACACACTTAAAATAGATGAATTTTGTTGAATTTAAATTATATCTAACAGATTTTTCAAAATATGTAAGGATACACACTCGGCTATTAACATGGATTGGAAGGGATGTGATAGGGAAGAAGAGAAAACCAGGCAAAAAGGTAAAAAATAAAACTACTCTAAACATTGTTTATATAATCCCATTTATGCACTTATGAAAAAGCTGTATGCATAAAAAAAAAACTTTTGCCAAATACTTAATACTGCAATCCAATACTTCTATCTTTGGCATGTTCAAATTCAGGGGCGGAACAGGTGATAAAAGCCAGATGATAATGGATCATGGGAGAGAAGGAGGTGGAGGAAGTGGGACAATGAGTTCCTTTAAATTGAGTCATTTCCCCTTAGAGCAGCGATGAAAGATGAGGGGCATGTTAGACCTGCTGTAAATGCTGTAAACTGGCCTATTTCCAAAAGAGTAAGTCCTAGCATGTCCATTACAGATGCTCATGTTTCAGGGATAATCTACACATAGTGAAAGAGCAGCAGCTCTTGGGGTGTTGGGTAACATTAGCCTTTCTGGAAGGAACCAATCTTGGTCCAGATGATTGTGCTTCAAAGGTGGCCCACAGGAGCAAACAGGCCCATGTGAGCAAATACGCAGCAAGTCTGGGTGGTTAAGGAAACTTCAGCTTTGACAGAAATCAGTCTGGGTCTCACCATGAGTATACAATTGTTCATACTAAAATAGAGATAATCCCACCTGGCTTGTTTTATGAATTATTGTACACAGGACATGGCACAAAACAGCCAATTAGCAATGGCTGTATTATTCCTTTGCCTAGAAAAGACTCTGGAGCACACTGTGCAATCACTGAACAGCTGCTCGACGGACAAATGGCTGGACGAATGGATGGATGGATGAATAAACTGGGAATACCAAATTCCAGTGAGCTACTTTTCCTGACTTGAGCTAAAATACTGTCTCCTTTGGGAAGTACCTCTATTTCAAGCTACACTCACATTTTCTCACTTACTAGTGTAGGTTTTAGAGCCAAGCTGCCTGTGCTTGAATCTTGGCTCCACTATTTACTGTCTTTGGAGCAACTCACATAAACTCTCAATTCTGCTTCCTCAACTATAAACTGGTGCTTAACAATAAGGTTTCCATACGGATTAAAAGAGTTAATACGAAAACATCTTTATTAGACTGGCTGCCCACAGTAAGCATTCAATAAATATTAGCAATTATTAAAATACTGCACTACCACATCTTACAAATTACTTACCTGTGTAAACACTGACTTTAAGCTCTATGAGAGGAAGAACTTTTGTGTTTCATTCACTGCCTAAAACTGTGCCCTACCATCTAGCAGGCATTTAATAGTTGTTGAATGAATACCTACCTCTCCTGAAACAATAAAAGAGCCAAAATTGCAAACACACACCCCTTCCAAAATTAAGGCCAGGGCCTTGCATTTAATAGGTGCTCAATAGATGTTTGTTGACTGAAGAAATGAATGGAGATGATCAGATAGAAAGTGATTCAGAAAACTGACAGTGGTATATGATGGAAGTAAAAAAGAGATTTAGGAATATTCCAGTTTATTTTTATAAACTTTTTATTTAAAAAATAAAATTATAAACAAAATACAGAAAAATATTGACACCTGTGATAACAAAGAAATGACTCTTAAGGGCAGTTTGTTGTCCTGGGAGGAAAAATCATAAGTGTTATAAAGAAATATTACTGTGCAAAGGAGGAATGTAATATTTAAGGTTCATTTACAACAGGCATTTGGCATCAACAGAAGAAGTCTTTCTATGTATACATTCAACATTTTGCAGCATATTTACATTCAAGTTACATTTCCAAATTCTATGCCAAATACAGTCTAACTCACCATCAAAAATCCCTCGGATATTACTAAAATCCTGTTTATTTGGTAGGAGTACAATATTATCTTATTAGAAAATAATTTTATGTTCCTACTAAGTCACCTGTATTTTTACTACTTCAACAAAATTCACTGACATTTTCATCCCAGTTGAAGTCAAGTCTCTTTTAGCCAAATACTAACTCAAATATTGCCAGTTATAAAATTATATAATAATCTTTTCCTCTCTCCTTAGAGACAGTATTAAAACTTTCAGTGAAAGGACACCAGCTATGACAGATTATTTTCTTTTATAGGAGTTAGGATGTATTACAGATACAAGTTCCAGAATTTTAGCTTGTTTTCAAAAGAGGACTGAAGCACTTTTCCCTTTCAGTTGTTACCAAATTCCTCATCAAAATAAAACACATTCAGAAATCTACATAGTAGTTTTTTGAAAACTTTTCTCCATTGTCCCCACACATTTCTCAAATCAGACTGCTTACTCACTAACAATTGGAGAATCTCTAGCTTAGTTTTTCTAAATTACACTACAGTAGCTATCCTAATTTCCTGACAATCTTCCCATTTCATTTTTTAAATTATGATTTTATTAAAATCAACATAAATTACAAAGGTTCCATCTTTGCTACAGTTCTTTTAAAAATTTATCTTAACTTACTGAAGGGTCAAGATCCCACAGGGCCTGTCTAGAACAGGCAAAGAAAATGTCAAGATTAGAAAATTCTCATGCCTCCAAAAGACTCCAGGCAAATAAAATCTACTCAATTCTTCCTTATTTATCTCAAGTTCAATTTTAAGTCTAAGAAGATAATGACAAAATAACAGAGATTGATGAATTTCATTTAGTTGAACCCTTTTTTCCTAATTTTCCTCAGGTTGTAACTTCGCCTTCAGTACATGATGACTGGCAGTTGGTAGTAGGTTGCTGAGATGACACCACTTCTAAGTCAGATTCACGAACAAAAACCACTGCATCACCACTTACATTTATAAGACACTGTGCCTATAAGAACAATAAACAGGACAGGTTCAGTTATGCTCAACACATTCATACTCTTCTGTTACACAAGGGGCAGTGCTGTACAGCCAAAAAAGCACAGGCTTCTAAATTTTAGGATAAAGATAGACAATCCAACAGAAAAATGAGAAAAGGGCAAGAGGGCAATTCACAGGAAAGAAAACTCAAGGAGCTCTTGTGAACATATGAAAACATATTCAAGCCCTCTATTAGAGATACATAATTAAAATGACGAGACACCACTTCATATATATTGGCAAAAAATGTAAAAGTTGGATGTTACCAAGTGTTAACAAAGACATGGGACAACAGCAACATACTTAACACTGCAGTGGGAAGTGCAACCATCCTGAAAAGAACCATCTCCTAAAGCAGAAAAAGAACACACTGCATGATCCATTAATTCCATGTATATGTGTTCCCTAGAGAAATCTTGGACATGTATGCAACAAAGATTAATAAGTGACTTTTCACTGCATCATGTTTAGCAAAATACTAGAAACAAACTAAATGCCCATCAAAAGCGAAATGAAAATAAACTGTGGAATATTCATATCTGAAATACCATATGGAAGTGAAAAATGACCTAAAGCTCAATCAATATGGGTAAATATTATGATGAATTAACAAAAGCAATTTGCAAAATGACATATACAATATAAAATCATTTACATAACTATATATATCCTTATATATTTATATAAAGTGCAAAATATCTCAATGAAGGGGAACTTTGGAAATCTCCATGAAAATTACAAAGGTACTACTTTTGACCTAGCAATTCTGTTTTAAGAAATTTTCCCTACAGAGATGCTCACACTTGTGCTAATCACTTATGTATCACATTGTTTTTGTAGCACTGTATATATTAGCACAACATTTACTGAAAACAACCTAAATGTTTATCAGTAGGGGACTAATTAAAGAAATTCCGATCGACGTATACCATGGAGTGTTATGTGGTTGTAACAAACATAAAGGTAATCTTTATGTCCTGAAATGAAAACCTTGCTAAGAAAAATCAGGTGAAAGAGCAAGCTGAGAAGCAGTATGTACTGTAAAGCTACCACTTATATTAAACCGGAAAATAAAAGAATATATATTTGCTTGTATGTATAAAATCTCTCTGGTTACATAGTTTGGAGTGTTACATCTCTAGAAGTTACCAAAAAGAAAAATTTGGTTGCATGTGGGGAGGAAAACTGACTGGCTGAAATAGCAGACAAGGAGAGACTTTTCCATTCATACCTTTTTGAATTTTTAATCATGTACTACCTATTCAAAAATATATTAAAACATTTTAGATACAAAATAAGACTACAATTAATTTTTTTAAGATATAAAAGCATGCATAGGAATGACAAAATTAAGATGGTTCATTCAGTATGAAGAGGAAATCGGCCCACTGAGGCTTCAACCATATTTTTAATACTTTATTTCTTAAGCTGAGGGTTGTAAGAATGTCTGTGTGCAGTTCTCTACATTTTTTGTGTACACGCAAGATCTCACATAAAAGTAGGGGGAGAAGCTAATGACATAAATCATGGCACCTGATATGATGTGTGCACCTCAGTGGTAATCAGCCGTTGATAGTTATCATTTAGGTACAGAGGAAGAGGGCTGGTGGTGGAAAATCTGGGTATATTCTAGCTTTTCTATTTATAGCCTCAAACCAAACTTAAGTTTTTTAACCCTCAGTTTTTTCACCTACAAAATGGAGTTAATATCAACACTACAAAGTACCAGAAATGGGAAAAAAAGAAAAAAAAAAAAAAAAAGCACAGTTTATTTGGAAAACCAAACAATTCAATCTACGTCTTGGGTATGTTAGGAGAGGTGAGGGGGGCAACAGATGAGTCTGAAAAGGTAGAAGACCTGAGAACGTGGAAGACCTTGTAGGACATATTAAGAAGCATGACTTTGTCTTGTGAGAAATCATTGAAGACAAACATTTAAAAGATAATAGTAACAACCTTTACAGTGCTTACTATCCACCAGGCACAAAGCACATTACATATATTAACTCATGATTTCCCCAATTTTTATCCCAATGTCATAGATGAGAAAACTGAGGCACAGATATAAGTTTTGTTCCGGATAAGCTGATTTTGAGGCATTTGTTAAGGTGCTAATTAAGTCAGTGAACAAGTTGTATAAATTTAACACTGGGAAAAACCCAAAACTACAAATCTCATTCTCAAATACAAAGTAATGAAGCAAAAAAGGATTCTTAAACTAGGGAAAATCCTCTTATATCAAATAAATTATTACAAAGAAGTACCCAGTTGAACATAATTTCAAGATCTAATAGATGCTTTCTTTATGACCAGATAATACCAAATTGTATCAAACACTCCTGCTCAGGATGTGCCTGGTTTCCATTCTACTTCCACTTTCAAATGATCTGTGTATAGGTAGTTCTCAGCGCTCCTGGTTTTCCTTCTGCCTTTCTCACTGTTCCTTTCTCAATCTTTCTTCTCCCCATGTACCCCTTTTGACCACTCCACACAATCTCCTTCACTCTAGATCTTATCAATAAGCTGGTTGCCAATCCAGAACTGCAGTAGCCTCACTGAGCTTTAGATATGCCCCAATTATCTACCAAAAATCCTCCTAGGATGTTTCATAACTTCCCTTCTCCCTCTAACGTGCCTTAGCCATTGCCAAAATTTATCAGAAGGTTGTCTCATAGTTTTGTTTATCACTATTTTTCTTCAACATCTTCTTAATGAAGTTTAATATACCATGAGTTATGAAAATGTGTAAACTATCAAGAAAACCTGAAAAGAACTTAGTAAATGAAGTACCCTTCTGAAGAAATTGATTAAACTTCATGACTTCAAAATAAAACTAAAACCAGTCAGGTGTGGTGCCATGTGCCAGTAGTCCCAGCCACTAGGGAAGCTGAGATGGGAAGATCGCTTGAGCTCAGGAGTTCAAGTTTAGCCTGGGTAATATGGCAAAACCCTATCTCTTAAATAAAGCTAAAACAATTTTGCATTTCCATAATGTCTTATCAAACTGCTTTTATATTTATGACAACAACTCACTTTCACTGTAAGATAATTTTATTAATGAAAAAAACAATGATACTAAGAATTTATATGATTTGTCTTTGGTTACAATTATCCAGATGTACAGGTAGGGGCAAAAAATATATATATACACACACATCTATTCATTTTTACTCCTGCTTAGATGATAAGTAATTAGTCTATATTAGAGCTTCTTAAGCTCTGTGTCTGCCAAGATATTGATCCCCTCTGCTCTCAGGGGAGTCACCTGGGTCAGAAACCCAGGGCCAATTACCAGCAGCCACATACAGCTTCATGCATTTACCACAGTATACCAGTGGACCACAGAAATAGGACTTTTGATGTGTGCCAAGAGAAGCAGGTTGGGAAGAACTGCGTTTAAGGAATTTCACACTATTTAGTATAGTTAATTAATTTTTTAAAAATTTTAACAATTTTAAGTGAGTTATTATCTTAACACAAAATTTAGAAATTTATTTTAAGATTTAAACTAACTGCTTTCAACCCCATTAACAGAATACACCACTTATCAGAAATAAGCAAGCACTTTGGTCTCACTATGATATACTCTTCATTAGTAAGGCAGCTAAAACTGGACAGCATCATAGTCCAAACTAAAGGACATCTTTAGCTCTCCTCAGTTAGCTATCACTGTATTCCAAACACTTACCAAAAGGAGGGTGGAGACAGTAACTCAGGAGGACAAATTCCAGACGTGATTAATAATAATACCTAGTTACCTGAGATGCCGAAATAGCATGTATTGATTTGTGACTATGTACGACCGTGGTTATTAAGAAATTCATTAAAATGTCTTACACATCTAGACTCAAAGGGTTCTAAAGAGCAATTCTCTTTTGGAGGGGGTTAGGGGTAGGAAGCCATGGAAGAAATTCTCAGGTTCCCGCCAATCAGGAATTTTTAACTGCATCTTACCTGGTTTTTATTTGGATTCTCCATGAAGACACACTGCTTCATTATGTAGGAGACAACAGCATTCCCTCCTAACGCAGCAACATGAGCTCTCACCATTGCAAACACTTCAGCAATAAAAGCATGGAGAAAACCACTGACTCCTCCTTCCTAAATAATAACACACAGGAAAATCATACCATAGATACATGTGTATGGATATAGGAATATATACAAAATGTCAAAGAATATATATTAAAACATCCTAAATTATCTTAATATACCAAATAACTTAAACTTCCCTCACAATGGGGATATACTGAATGAACAAACATTGACTGAACACATGTCCAGGCAAGGATTTACTACATTTACTTTACAGATGATAAAACTGAAGCCTGGAGAATTTGTAACTTGCCCATGACTAGCTATGATCAAACAGCTAGTAAGTAAATGGCAGGGCAAGAATTCAAATTGTGCCTCCACCTTCAACATCTCCATTAAATCATGCTCATCATCATTAAAACAAATTGATGATAAGCCTAAACAATAAAACTTACCTGCTATCCATATCTCTCATTCTGAACCTGAACCATGTTCAATCAAACTTGCCTTTTTTTCAGTTTCTCAAATGCACAAGCACTTTTCCTACCTCAGGCTCACTGGCACATGTTGCTCCTGAAGACTTTTCACTCAGTTTTTTTTTTTTGTTTTTTCCACAGAACAACTCATTCACTCCTTGGTCCCAATTTACCTATAATGTCTTCAGAGATACCTTCTCTGACTGTGAACTATAAGTTGAATTCCTCTATTACATTCTCTGATAGCCTCTGTTCAATTTCTTTATATTACTTACTCTCCCTAGTAATTAGATACTAATTATATGATTTATTTGTTTTTGTCTACCATGCTCCAGTTCTACTAGATTGTAAGTTCCATTAGGTCAGGGACTGTATCTGTTTTGCATACAACTATATGCTAACATCTAGTTCAACAGGTGCATATAATAAGAATTCTATACATGACTGTTAGGAAATAAAATCCAGTAGTTCAGGGTACTTTTTCCATATTCAAAAACAAGGAAAACAGAAATCAAAGGCTAGTCAATAGCTTAAAATGCTTTTCAACCTAGGTTTCCACAAATTCTATTGTACTTATTTACAGTCTAGGAGGAAATTTCCAACTTTAAACTGGAAGGGGAAACATCCATCTTTCTGAAAAGCCTGAGGATACTACATATAGTTTTGTAAAGATATCTCTTTTTGTAGTTAAGGAATTAAGGGAGTTGCTTCAGCCTGCCTCCAACTCAATCATAGTTCAGTATATTTTTCTTTGACTTTTATCAATTTCCTCCTGTTTATTAAATCAAAAACTTCTGATGACACAGTAGCTCTGTAGAGGATTAATTTAAAAAATATTAATTAACTGTAAGGAAACAACTCAGGCAATTAACACATTTGGAATATTGTGCTACACAGTTAATATTATAAGTTTCTGTTGAAGGAAAATCCACCAAGAAGCAACATTTTGAGGTATGGGAGCTTAAGTAGTCAAGAAGGCTTAGGAAATAAAATTTTATGGATTCAAAATAGTGTAATATCCATGTGCTACCAAGAGCAAGTAGAAAGGTTAATTCATAATACATGCCAGCTTTTCGCACCAAATCTTTGTCAAATGTAAATGGATGTAGAGAAGTATCATCTATTTTAATTCTCTATCAAAAGGTTTTTGAGAATATCTTGATAGTTTATTTTTCATCTTAACATAATTAAGAGTGATATAAAAACTAATTTATCTTTTTTTGGGGGGAGGAGAGTCTCACTCTGTCACCTAGGCTGGAGTGCAATGGTGCAATCTCAGCTCACTGCAACCTCCACCTCTCATGTTCAAGCAATTCTTGTACCTCAGCCTCCCGAGCAGCTGGGATTACAGGCATGTGACACCACGCCTGGCTAATTTTTCTATTTTTAGTAGAGAAGGAGTTTTGTCATGTTGGCCAGGCTGGTCTCGAACTGCTGGCCTCAAGTAATCTACCCGCCTCGGCCTCCCAAAGTGGTGAGATTACAGGCGTGAGCCACCATGCCTGGCCTAATTTACCTCAAAGAAAACATCCATCTAAGTAATTAAATAATCTGTCAGAAGCTATTCATTCATTTACACAAAAACATACTGTGTTTACTCTGTGCCAGCTACTGTGCTAGGCACAGGATGGTGAGTATGTTATTAAAGATAGCGTGCAGGCTGTTATTCCTAAGAAAGTATAGAAACACTGCTGGTGAAAAAGGGCACAGCTAAGTGTGCCTTATTCGTCTTTATAATGAATATACTTTTTAAAAATACAAACTGCAGCTAAAGTAAAATTTGAAAAGATTATTGGATGTCACACTTCAGTAATTAAAAAATTTCCCTATTCACAATATTAATTTGCTTGGTAGCCCCTGTTCCTTAACATATGACATTATATAATTTTTTTTAAGTTTAAATTCCTGTGTTATAAAAGATATAACAGGCTGACTCTGATTCTGAACTTTTTCCACATCAAGTAAAATATTACAACTTGTTATTTAAAAACGAAATTAAAGTTTAATGATACTCAGTGTGAGATAAGATTGAAGAAATGTCATCCTCATACACTAATGGAGAGAGTAAAAGATGAGCAGCTTCATTCCTTTCTCAGTAGGAAGAAACAGCAGAGCTAAATTACATAAAGTATCTCTTTAGAAATATATCCATAATAGAGTCCTCTATTATTTCTAAATGTGATCTGTCAAAAGTTGCTAAATTACTGAGAAAATGAAGCTGTTCTTTCAGGGCTATTTTAAACCTCTATTTGAACACAGATATTTGTTTTATTTACTATATGATAAGGTTCTAAGATTTTTAACAATAAATAGGTTTAAAACTAACACAATTCTTGTGATAATCCTAGCTGCTAAATGAAATAAACTCTAGACTCAATCCAGATAGATTATTAAAATATAAATAAATATTTGTAAGTTATTTTTGGCAAAAAATAACAATTTGAAACTTGTTTGGTTTTGTTACTAAATCTTCAATCAGAGAAAACTCAAAAAAACAATGAAACAACTTCTATAAAATTACCTCCCGAAGAGAAGTAGTCTCTCGAATAAAAAACATGTTAATTATCCCAAGATACTTAGTTATTTTTGCTCCAGGAATAAAAGAAAGAGGTGTCATCTTAACAACCCCAACTGTGGAATTTGCACAAGGTGGAGCAGAACGATTCCGGAAATTTCCATCACCCACTGGACTTGCTTTTTCAACTGTCACGGCTAAAATTGGAGAAAGAGGAGAAAACATTCAGAACAGACGCTGGTAACACAATTATTCCCTGAGGTTTCCAAATAAGTGGTGACAACATTCAGCTGTCTGTGAGGCTAAGCCATGTCATGAAAGAAAAGAAATTATCATGCACTGCATGCAATTAAAAAAGAGAGACAGAAAAACATGAGAGGAAATGCTGGAATGGAATTCTTTTGGAAGAAAAATGGCATTCCTGCAAAAGAAAATGTTGATGCAGTATAGCTACACACACAATGATTGGTTATAAAGTGAAGAAAAAGAAAAAGCGGCAGAGCATTAAAATTATCTGCTGTAGGAACAAATTATTACAAGGAGAGTGTGAAAGTTGTTATATTTCCCAGCGCAATTTTTCCATCTTTTTCAGACGACTTCATCATTGTCAACTTGTAGATAAACCTTATGTTATCTAATTGTAAGATATTTGCTTTTCCAAACCTTTTTGAAAACCAACTCATAGTTTTAAAAGCTTAACACAATGACCTCTGCTAGCTAAAAGCTGGTTGTTTATAAAGTAAAAAAAAAAACAAACAAACAAAAAAAAACAAAACACACAATAGCTACCACTTACTAAATAACTGCCATAAGACAGACATATATATATCTAATCCTTACAACAACCCAGAAACATAGGCTATCATCATCATCCCCATTTCATGCATGAGGAAATGGAAGCTTAGAGAAGTTAAGTAACTTGCCCAAGGTCTGATAGCTATTAAAATGGCACTTCTAGGATTCAGAACCATATCTGGCTGGTTTCACATCCTATGTTATTTCCTGTGAAATGTAGTTTTTTTCCCCTTCTAATATATGGTAAGCTCTTTCACTCAAATACATTTACCTCAAAATTTACCAAAACACATGGGGTAAACATAACATATAAGTAATGATTCTGATTCTAGCAGTAAGGTAATAACTACTTTCTCTCCAGAAATTCTTTATTCGTTTAGCCCTCTGCATATCACACTTAATAAACCAACAGATGCCACATACTAAATAGTACCTTGGGTCCTGGAAGAACGTCTCTTCAATAAGAGAGTTGGTAATTTATTTTCAACTAGAACAATATAATATCTATTTATATACTTTTAAAAATGCCTGCACAAAAAGGAAAATTTTAAAAACACAATTGTATAGGTAAAACTAATAAATCTAAAGGCCTTTCAAAAGCTTTTCCTAAATGACCCTTAGAGTCTGCAGCTTTCACACTCTAATACATGATGGATTGGCAATGTTATTACTGGGTAGTAAGGTCTAGCTTTTACCACTGGGAAATCAGGGATATGTTTCTCAGATTATCATAATGTGGTAGAAACATCCGCCTACTTGTCTTAATTGATCCACGCCTTATGGTCTGAGCTTTCAGTTTAATGAGCTCTATCCAGCTGCTGCATCTGTCTGCAAAGGAACTGTAATCAACTGACGTTGCTGAAAACACAGACAGAAAACAAAAGAAAAAACAAAGAAAAAATATGGATGATGTCTCTTACTCGTCTTAACACTCCTTTCGATGATGTAATTTAACTGTAACTCAGAAAAAGAACGGTCCTTTTCAAGTCAGATAAGAGAGATAGTAAAGAGTCAAGCTTTAGACACTGATTTGTCCAAAACCAAGTTCTCAGTTAGCAGGCTGAGCATTTTTGGTGATGTCATAGTTGTGTGGTCTCTTAGGGAGAGCCTGATTGGGGTCTAACATAAATATCAGTGAAAGGACCACATACTGCGCTTTAACTAACTTTATTTCCTACTCTTCTTAATTTATAATATTTCAGTTGTTCCTATTTTATAATCAAAACTTTGTGAATAATTCATTTCCCTAGTTTTACCCTAAAATTTAAAAAAAAAGAGAGAGAATCAAATGTTGAAGAACACATTTTAAAAAGTTACTAGTTGACTTATCTGTTATTAAAATATCTTCTTTCTACAGTCAGCAAGAGGAAAACCAAAGGGCCATTTTTGTTAATGTTTTGTTTCCATGTCTGATTTTGGGCAATGAAGCCTCTGATAATACGGGGTTGGGGCAGGTGTGAGCCTCACAAGTTCCCCCTTTTTAAAAGAATAACTTTTACTACTGCTAAGCTGGGAAGAAATTTTAAGGAGCTAAAATTTTATGCTTAGAAACTGGGAAACCATTAACATACTAAAAAATTTAAATATTAGTTTAATTGATGTTTTTTAAAAGAACATATTCTACCTACAAAAAAAAAAAAAAAAAAAGCCAGATTTTGGTGTCTATGCCATATTGTCCAGTGCATTTCTTTGATGTCTATAATTTCATGCACCACCAAACTAGAATTTTACACCTTTGGTGACTATTTGCTTAATTAGACAAACTCACCTCTCTGTGCAGCTGGTATACCTGAGTTAGAACTTGCACTCTCCAGGTGTTCTAATAAGACAATATGAACAACATTAGCTCGGATGCTAAGTACAAGCCAGTACCTCTTCTTTGTTATTTGTTAATACCTCTATAAGCCAGAAGAATAGGAGGAAATCTTTATGGCTTCATTGCAAAAGCAAACCAAATAAAAGCATTAAGGTTTAAAATGCAGTTTCTATTGACACATGAAAACTAGCTCAGTTCATCAATACCATGCCAAAGGAGACTACTTGCTTACTATAACACAAAAAAAGTTTCAGAAACTTCATAGTCACAAGAAAATATAAACATAGTAACAAATGTGAGTATGATGAAAGCAGGATGTGAGACCAGGCAGAGAAAAGGGCCAATGTGTTTGGAAGAATAGCTGAAATGAAACATAGAGGGGAAATGTTTGCTGTGGGGAAGAGCCTGTAAGATTAAAAATTACAGACAAGATAATGATTATGCTTCATAGATCAGCATAAGCTGCTCCCTAGTCTTAACTCTCCTCACCACCAACTTCTTCATTCAAGGACTTCGATATCAACAGCTCCCTCTGGTGGTATCAAGACTTTGCAAAACTAAAAAATGAGTTACCACAGAGATAACTAGGAATCTCAGGCAGTATCACTCCCTTTCCAGTAACCTCATAACAGTAGCATCCAGAATTTTCCCTGATATTTTTTATTACAGGTATTTAAGGTATTGTACAAATTTAAATAGCACTATTAAAAAAACTTCATAATTTTTAATGCTCATGTTCTACCCACATTAGAATATTTAAAGTTTTGTTTGAAAGAATTTTACAACTAAAAGAATAGTGTTGCCAATTTAGAAATAACTCATGAAAAGCACTGAGAATAATTTCGGTTGGCCAGTTTAAGTATAGATTGATAGATACAATTTTTTAATTTCTACTTAATGTGTTGATTTTTTTGATAACATGCTGAAATTAATTTAAAAAACTTTTCAAAACATTATTTGTACAGAATGTTTCTACCATACAATATTGCTGCTAATTGAAAATCCAATGCAAGTATCTCACCACGACCTACCAATACAATTTTTTTTTTTTTTTGAGACGGAGTTTTAGTCTTGTTGCCCAGGTGGGAGGGTAGTGGCACGGTCTCAGCTCACTGCAACCTCCACCTCCCAGATTCAAGTGATTCTCCAGCCTCAGCCTCCCAAGTAGCTGGGATTACAGGCGCCCACCACCAAGCCTGGCTAATTTTTTTATATTTTTAGTAGAGATGGGTTTTACCATGTTGGCCAGGCTGGTCTCGAACTCCTGACCTCAGGTAATCCGCCTGCCTCGGTCTCCCAAAGTGGTGGGATTATAGGTGTGAGCGACCACCTGGCCCACAGTTTTTATAAAGCAATTGACCACTAGCTAATACTGCAGCATATACAGAGCTGATAAATAAAAGGGATCACCAGGTGGAGTTCACAAAAGGCCTGTGAGGATACGACGCTGTGGACATGCCCTGACCATCATGCTCACTGACTGGAGATCTAGATAGGAAAAGTCCTCCTGATTCAGGATCTTGAGGGACTTTGGAAGTCTAGGAGATGAGACCTACAGAAAGACCAGCACAGAGCTGACACTCAGAGGCTTACCTGATCTGCAGGGACACTCAGCACAGAAACAGACTCAATGGAGAGACTGGGACACCAACTGTCCTACCCCTAACTTACATATCCCGAGAGGGTCCTGAGGCTCTCATATGTCTTGTGCAGTATAGATTTGGTTGGTGTAGAATTACAGAACTTATATAGCTGGTATTAGGAATTCCGTGCATTTTTTTTAAACTGCAGGGGAAAGAGGAATGGCTTAAAAATTTCTGAAAAATCACTAAAACTAAAATCTTTTGTATACCTTGATATTATCTGAGTAATATCGAATTCCCTAGTAGGAACTGCGTATATTTTAATGGCAAATGTACAAAGAAAGAGCTTACCTGAGTATGTATTAAGTATCTGTTCCCATCTCTAATATCAAGTGGAAAAAACAAGGTACACAATGATATGTAAAATACTTGTGTTTTTTTAAAAAGGATGAATAGAGTATCTTTGAAAGACAGCAAACTGTTAAAAGTAGTTGCCTCTTGGGGAAGAAAATGGAGAAGGGAGCTTTATTCTGGACTATAGGATTTTTGTAGTATTTGAATTTTTCGCGATACACATGTATTACTTTTACCCCACAAAATTTATAAAGGGTGAAGAGGGAAAAAAGGGAGGGAAAATGTTTATTCCCTGCCCTCAAATATGAATGTATCTGAATAAAAATCTGAAAACCAAAGTTTTTAAGGGAGAAGATTTTGATTTCACTTAGGGAGAGCAGGTTCATCTTTTAACATGCTTGCTATCTTCATTTTTCTCCCAGAAAAAAAAGGCCCAAGAGGCCCAAGGCCAGCTGGTCCCAGCAGCAGATAGACATCAGCACCTTGGACTGGTTTGAATACCTCAAATGTCTGATGATCTCAAACTCCCAGTCCCTCTGCTCCTCCTGATCAGAGTTTGGCTTCTCAGGTGATAGGCTTTTCAAAAGAGAAGGTACTGCAGATACATGCAGTCTGGCTCACTGACAAACTGGGAGTTCTGATTTAAAAGAAATAAAACAATATGCAATCTCTAGGCTAATACTAATTTAAAAACAACATATTTCATTATTCAAGGGTAGAAATCTCCTCAAGTCTTTTAGACTTTGTTGAGTTGTGCTCAGTTGTGTGCCATTTGTAGATCTATATGGAAGAGTCTGAAACAAATGCTTTTCATGTCAGATCTCCCTTCTAGCTGCAGTCTCAAGCCACACAACAGTCCACTTCTCTTATAATTTGGTTTCCCATTTAATACAAGAAGAAGATTATTTTGCATTTTTTTTAAAGTCACCATTAAGTTATAACCCTGCAAGCCCCAAATAAATGACCCTAGAAACTTAGCAAAGCAAAACAGGGCTATGGTTTATTATTCCCCTAGTGCACTCTAGCAATATTTAACAAGCCCTGTGTCTAGTGGTGTGAGAGGGAAACTAACCCAGGTTAAAAGCAATTTAGTGGAAATGAGCATATTATTGACAAAAATGATTCTTCCTCCCTCAAACAGACAATCTCCAGTGCATCTAAAGTCTGAGACTTTTCCATTCTTCTAAATAACTTGTCGTAATCAATGGCAAAGGTATTTGTTAGCTGCAGTAATTATTTGAATGTATGTGCCCTCCAAAACTTGTTGAAATTTAACTGTCATTGTAACAGTACTAAGAAGTAGAACATTCTGGCCAGGGGCAGTGGTTCATGCCTGTAATCCCAGCAATTTGGGAAACTGAAGTGGGCAGGTACGTTGAGCTCAGGAGCTCAAGGCCAGCCTGGGCAACATGTTGAAACCCCATCACTACGATAAAATATAAACATTAGCCAGGCGAGGGGGTGCTAGTGGTCCCAGCTACTCAGGAGGCTGAGGTGGGAGGATCGCTTGAGTCCAGGAGGTAAAGGCTGCAGTGAGCCAAGATCGCAGCACTGCACTCCAGCGTGGGGGACAGAGTGACACCCTGTCTCAAAAAAAAAAAAAAAAAAGGCCGGACGGTGGCTCATGCCTGTAATCCCAGCACTTTGGGAGGCCAAGGCAGGTGGATCATTTGAGGTCAGGAGTTCGAGACCAGCCTGGTCAATATGGTGAAACCCTGTCTCTACTAAAAACACACACACACAAAAAAAAATTAGCCAGGCATGGTGGCAGGCACCTATAATCCCAGCTACTTGGGAGGCTGAGGCAGGAGAATCACTTGAACCCGGGAGGCAAAGGTTGCAGTGAACTGAGATTGTGCCTCTGCATTCCAGCCTTGGCAACAGAGGGAGACTCCATCTCAAAAAAAAAAAGAAAAAAAAAGTAGGACATTTAAGGCCTGATTAGGCCAGATCTCCACCCTCATGGATGGGATTAGTGCCATTATAAAAAGGGAGGTTTGACCTCCTCGTGCTCTCTTTTTGCCCTTCTGCCCTGTGATAACGCAGCAAGAAGGCCCCAGCCAGATGCTGGTACCTTGATATTGGACTTCCAACCTTCAAAACTGAGAGCCAATAAATGCCTGTTCTTTATAAATTTACACAGTCTCAAGTGTTTTGTCACAGTAGTACCAAACAAAGATAAATACAGTAATAAATTTCTACACTGATCAGTACCTTTTTTGACTACCCACTTTATATCATTACAATTTACAGATCATCTTTGCTCTAAATAATTAAAAAATATTTGAGAAAATCTTATCTGAATGTCTTTTAAAAATTATTAAAACTAAAAAAGTTACTATAAATGATTAACTAGTTACTACAAAAGTTAACTACAGTTACTACAAATGATTCTCTGGCAGATTAAAATTGAGAGTCATTATAATTTATGTTTTATTTTCCTATTTAAACATTCTCAGTTTTATTATGATCAAACCTGGGTTTTATGTTTCTTTAGGAATTTCCATCAATCGATACTGCATTGATTAGTTATGCTTTATAAGTATAAAATCTAACTTCATGACTGGGGTAGACAAATGATATACCTAAACATTCAGTATCAACCTGATCTATAACAATACTCAAATATTGATGAATTGATAAGGAAACTGCCATATTACAGTTACAAATTACTAAGGCATACCTAAAGATAAAACTAGCTTCAATTTGGACAGTTTACAAGGGAAAAATTCAACTGTGATACCTCGGTAGTACATATATTAGATAACAAAGACAATTAACTTCCCTATTTGGGTCATTTAAGTTTCTAATTAAAGGTGTACGACATCCTAAACCACTTGTCTTTCTTCTTCAATCTGCTTCTTACATTTTCCTGCTTCCATTTCCAAGCATGCAATCCCCCTCTCACTCCAATCTTTTATAGCTTCTCTTCCACATAATCCGTTTTCTGTCAGTAACTCAATGCAATTTTTCTTTGCTTTTTACTCCCTCTTCCTCTAACCATGGATTTCACTGTCCTCAAGCTGCCTTGAAGAAGCTACTGAGATAAAGATTCTTTATTCCTAC